ACTCTCTGTTAGAAAATCTCTTAAATTGCTCCTTATTTTATAAACACTGTAAAGTTTTATTTATGAAATTCATTATTTCGAGTTCGAACCGAAATTACACCACTTTTCAAACCGGGTACCTACGGCAAAATCTGTGTAGTGTGTGGTTATAAAACCGGTGAACGATCCGTTCCCGCAAGATTTGGCAAGAGAAGCTTGTTCTACTGCCGTTGCGTGATGGGATCACTCGATCGCGTTCAAGAATACCAATATTCGCTTCACGAATGAACCACGCCCTTTTTTCTCATGCGATCGCCGTTCCCAGTTTCGAGAATTGGGCTCCAGGAGCATCTCGAAGAACCATGGCAAGAAACGGACTGTAAGAAGAGAGCAAGGGATAGCCCAGGGCATTCTATCGACAGACCAACCAAACAAAGTAAGATAAAGGACTACTGGCTAAATCCACCTGCTGTAGCAATTAAGAACAGATTTGAAGGTCTAACAGAAGAAACTTTAAACGACGGTTTCATAGTTAAAGAAACGAAACCTAAAGTGGGGCATCGTTTGATCGCAGGAGGAGACTAAAATGCAAAGCACCCACAGTGGGGATCAAGACTTACGACTCCTACGGGCCGTGAACTTTTTAAAGCTATGCAAGCTAAAAACATGCATCACCTATCCACTGGGGAACCAACCTACTGGCCGACCGATAGGAAAAAAGTACCAGATGTAATTGATTTCTGTGTAGTTGGGGGAATTCCTATAAACCTTCTTCAAGTCAAATCGTACTTTGAACTCTCATCGGATCACTCGCCAATAATTATAACATTGAGCTCAAAAATAATAACAAAGGCAAAACCACCTGCTCTTACCTCAAAACGTACAAACTGGGAAGTCTTCAGAAGCATAATCGAGAAAGAGCTAACATTGGATATCGCATTAAAATCAAATTCGGACATAGAAAACAACACAGAATACCTAACTAACATTATACAACAAGCAGCTTGGAAATCAACACCTGATCCAAACAACTACCACGAAAACAAAAATGCCTGCTCGCCTAAAATTAAACAAAAAATAGCTGAAAAAAGAAAGCTGAGGAAAAAGTCGCAGAACTCAAGATCACCTCATGACAAAACTAAACTCAATAAAGCTGTCAAAGAACTAAAGAACCTCCTACATGTCGAAAAAAATCAAGCAGTTCAAAACTATCTGAAAGAACTAACTTCCACCGAAGCCACAGAGTACTCACTATGGAGAGCCACAAAAAAACTTAAAAGACCCCAGATAGCAATACCTCCTATAAAAATGGAAAATGGGCAAAAAGCGATGCTCAAAAAGCCGATATGTTTGCAAATCATCTGATAAAGGTTTTTAAACCCTTTGAATCCCAAATACCGAAAGAAGGAGGAAAATAAATTGTACAAATATTAGAGGCCCCGGGTCAACTGAAATGTCCTATTAAACATTTCACAATTAAAGAAATAAAACTTGCCATAAAAGAGCTCAGTGCAAAAACAGCCCCCGGATATGATCTCATTACAGGGAGATCCTGAAAGAGCTGCCAGATGTGGCGAAAAGATTTATAACACAAATGACGCCATCTTAAGAATAGGCTATTTTCCTCGCCAATGGAAAGTAGCCTAAATCATAATGGTCCCCAAACCAGGAAAACCGGTAGAAGATATAAAGTCTTACCGCCCTATCAGCCTGCTGCCAATATTGTCCAAGCTGTTTGAAAAATTATTCTTAAAATCGAAAATAAAACCCATACTAGACGAAAAACAACTCATTCCCAACCATCAGTTCGTGTTCAGACAGGAACATGCCACAATTGAACAAGTACATCGTATAACTTCCAAAATCAGTAAAGCATTTGAACAAAAAGAATACTGCACAGCGGCATTCTTGGATGTTAGTCAGGCTTTTGATAAGGTCTGGCATATGGGACTGTTATATAAAATCAGAAGGGTCCTTCTTGACAACATCTATCAGATTTTAAAATCGTATCTGCAAGATAGGCACTTCTTAGTAAAATTCCATGAAGAATATACAAGTTTAAGGCCGATTGAGTCTGGAGTGCCTCAGGGCAGTGTGTTGGGGCCGTTGCTTTACCTCTTTTACACTGCAGACCTACCAACAAATTCAAATTGTATGACTGCCACATTTGCTGACGATACTGCAATTTTGGCGACACATATAAATCCGACAGCTGCGTCTGACATCCTGCAGAATAACTTAACATTGGTACAGGAATGGCTGAAGAAATGGAGGATTAAGGCCAATGAAACTTAAAGTGTACAAGTAACTTTTATCATGCGTAGAGAGAATTGCCCTCCTGTTCAACTTAATAATTTCCAAATACCTCAAGTCAGGGAAGCCAAATACCTGGGCATGCATTTGGATCGGCGCATGACATGGCGTTCTCACATTTTTAAGAGAAGGAAACAACTAGGCATTAAACTAAGAAGATTGTACTGGATTATCGGGAGAAACTCACAATTAACAAACAGAATAAACTGTTATTATACAAAGTGATGCTGAAACCAGTCTGGACGTACGGTATACAGTTGTGGGGGACATCTTAGAACGATTTCAATCAAAAGGGTTACGAACGATTGTGGACGCGCCGTGGTATGTGCCCAACGATCTTATTCGCCGCGATCTTAAAATGTCAACTGTCAAAGAGGAAATCACAAACTACAGTGCTATGTACCGGCAACGCCTTAGCGCCCATCCTAACCAACTTGCGGAAAAACTCTGGAGGAGTCCATTTAATAACATTAGACTGAAGAGATTTAATCCTACAAACCTAACTACTAGATTTAAGTAAAACGCTTTGAAAACCCAGTAGTCAAAAACAATTAATTAATTAATTGATTTAAAATAGGGGATTTGGATGGCTAATACCCTACATGTTGAATTGTATGTCAGTTTCTTAAAATTGTATGTCAAACAAAATTTCTGAATACCTTCGGGTAGTTTGTAATATTACTGGGAGTTTTTAAAAAAATAAATAAATAAATAAATAATTTATATACGAAATGTTCAGTTTTCTCATTTAAAAGTAACTAAGGAAGAATTATATTTCCTATCAGTAAAATTATTGTTTTTATTTCATTTTCGTTTAGTTTATTTTGAAGAATACATGTGATTAATATTACATTATTTTCATATTCTAATTTTTACAATAGTATGTTGCTTATTTAAGATTAAGTGCAGTAGCTTCGACTAGACTTGTTTGTAGAAATTTGTTTTTTCACAAATAAAGACTACATTTATTTATGTATTTCTTTAAGCAAT